AACGCAAACGTAGCAGAGGAAGAGAACCAGAGGTGCCTGGCAAATCCACAAACAGAAGAATGAAAACCCAATCGTGGAGATGTGATTGGATCATCAGAGTCAGGGGAGCACTTAGGCATGTGGGCAGGATGGGTGAGCCCTGTGAAGTCATCATGATTCACTCCTTAAGGGAGATGAGGAATGCGCTACACTCATAACCTCACTCCCCAAATGCTTCCCTGGTGCCAGGGATCGTGGCATTGGATGTGCGTTATCTAATTTATTCCTGAAAACCACCTGTGGGCCTGGCAATACCTTCACACAAGGAAACCGGAAGTTAAGTCCGATGGGCACACAGCTAGTAAGTGGCAGGCCTGGGACTCCAACAGCTTTTCTGATTATAAAACCTGAGCTCTTGTAATGCTTCCCAAGCAAGCAAGGTGCACTCAAATTTCCACCCCGTGTAGATCAACACTGAGTTTTTAAACTTCATCAACGTTCATCTCTTTAACTTCTTAATAAAACAGTGCGATGGCCATTCAACAGGTCACTCATTTCCATAGAACCTTAGCAGGCATTTTGTTGGCAACCGCGAAAAGCCTTTCAAAGATCAAGACAAATAACTCAGCCAGAGGTGAAGGATTAAACCAGGGTTTCCAGCCTCATGCCCAGACACAACCCTCTTTTTTTTTTTTTTTTTTTAAAAAAAGATTCCTCTTTCTGTCTTCTTTAATGGGCAAACCAGGACGTTCCAGAGATTTTTTGTTGTCATTCTAGCTGAGAGAACCCTGTTTGTCGCATATATGTAGCTGTGACTATTTCCTCTTCACAAGGAAAATTCCTCATTGCATTCTTTTTTTCTTTCCTTTTTTCTTTTGTTTCTTTTAAACTGAAAGTTGGACTCCTTCATTGACGTGCAAAAAAATTTATGCCAGTGGAAACCAGAAACCCTGATGCCTGGCAAAAGGGAGGTCACATGTTGTGAATGACACGATTCTCATTTTGTAATTAGATTAATTAAAGTGACTGGTGTAAATCCCTTGCACAGTGTGGGGAGAAGAGACCCCAACGGCTAATCTCACCACCATATGCTGTGGCACTTTGAAAACTGGGCAGGATGACCTCAGCTTGGAATGTTTTTGTGGCTAAAAATATAACAAAAAAAACCAACTGCAGAATGAGTCATGCAATAGCACTCAAGTTCACATTCTTTAGAAATTTCTGAACACGATGTTTTCTACCAGTGCCCTGACTCCAAAAATGTCCACAGAATAAATTCCTGTCTCTGCTTTTGAAAAAATATTAGTCCTTGTGCTTCTCACCACATGAATGTTGTGTGGAAAATTACACTTTATCGAGGTGGAAGGATAAGACTTCTCATCTGTAACCTCTGTGCAGACAGAGCACTGCTGACTGTCCTGCAAGCATGATGGGGACAATTTAACCTCTGTCCCTCACCCATCACCTGGATGCCTTCGGAGTCAGGAGTTGATGGGGAGGGTAGGATGGAAACCGCCCAGCTATGGCTGGGAGTGAGGGTCCCTGAGAATGCTGCGTGCTCTCCCTCTGTCCACGTGCGTTCCTGCTTTCTTTCCTGCCTGGGTGATTTCCTTGAGCCAACCTTTTCCCCAGTCAACACTCCTTGAATATGAAGCAAAGGAATAAGGTTACTTACAATCTGTTGCCATGCCAACGTAGATGCATTTTTTAAAGCGACATTCCTGGCACTGATTTCTTGTAACTTTGTCTATGACACATTTTCCTTCATATTTACAGGAATAGGATGGATGGAGATTTTTCTGAATGGTTCTTCTAAAGAAACCCTACATGAAAAAGAAAGACCCAGGACAACCATTTCATATTTTCTAGAAATAAGTGACTCCAGCATTTTGTATCTTCCTGACTGTGATGGATGGTTTTAGACCTTAACTCTGTACGGGCCTATAGCTCTACCTATTCAAATATAGGGCAGTTGGCCCAAAGTGCATCTAAATAATTCTAAATCTGAGGGAGATGTCAGAGGCTACGGAATCTCTTCTTATCCTTTTGGCATTTACTCAAGGCTAATGGGAAAATCTCATGTTCGCGTTTATGTTTTCTAAACAATGAGTCACATAAATAAATTATATTATTTCATGCCATAATTGTGTTGCTAAATGAAGCTCTGAAGAGGTTTGCTACACTTTATACTGGAGAAATAAGAGCTGGATACTTGTGATGCTTAATTATTAATTAATTAATTTAATCCTTTAGTATTTAAAGGGATGCATTAATTGCCTTTAGAGATTTGGTTTAATTCTGGTTTTCGACTCTTGAGACGGCCATGACCAGCTCAGACAGCCCTTGAAACAACAGTCCTTGGGGAGGAGAAAATTCCAGGTTCTTTACCAAATCTTTCCCATAGCTCATGGCACTGGAGTTTTCCTTTCCTAGCACCCTTTTTCTCCAATATCTGTAGACATGCGCCCTAAAGTTCAATGTTTCTTCTTCTTTCAAGGCATGGGAGAGGGCCACCTGAGAGTACAGTGCAGTTCCAGGCTTCGGTGACTTACATAACATCCTCAAGGCTGTGTCATATGAGAACCTTTCTGGACATGATACTCAAGTCTGGTAGGAATTTATAACGGCAGAAAGCATGTATTGTGAGGGGCGCACTGCAAAGTGCTGCAGACAAGTGCCAGGGCCTCTGTCTCTCCCACAGCCTTCTGAGGTCAGTATTCTTAATATCTCCACTGTGGGGATTAAAAAACTAAGCCTTAGACAGGTTAAGTCACTCGCCCCAAATCACATGGCAAGTACATGCTGGAACTCGGCCTGGAACCCAGGAGTTGGCTTAACATGATATAGACTGAGTCCAATTTTACTGTATTATTTAAATGTTTTAGATGAACATATTATAAACAGTCCCCTCTCACCCACCCCTCAAAATAACCACATCATTTTATGGTTTAGTAGAATAGCAAGGCACAACAAATTTTGAAGGATGCTGTCCACTGAACCTTAAAGGGACCTCCAACTTTGTTGCATAAATTGGATGGAAATGCCAGTTCATCTAGGCTAACCCAAATTATAATTATCCCGTTTAACTTGCCCTGGCTTTATGTACTTATACCACTTGCATATTCCTCACTCAGACACAGGAACTCTTCCTTGTAATGAAAAGGTCCGAGGTAGGATTTTCTACTGGGCATAGCAGAATAAAATGGAAAAATGACAGCAGTCACTGAAACTCATGGACTTGGTTTCGGGGCATGTTTGCAAACCCCTGATATTACTATTGCTCAATTCCTAACAGAAGAACTGTCATATTGTATTTGGCTTTGCATCCTTAAACACTGAGTCCATTAGTTTGAATGACATCGATGAACTGTCCTAAGATTCCCTGAAGCACACACGGGGCAGCTGCTGACATGTGTTTCCCGGGTGTTCAAGGTGGGCGGTCCCGCCAAAGCTTGGATGTCAGGGCCTGCACAGAACGAAAAACAAGCTGTCCCCGCTCCTCTACCCCATCCCCCTCCCTCCAATCCACCCTTCAAGGGTTACACTTGCTTGAAAGACAGAAGAAACTCAGAGATTCTAGCAAGGAGACATATGTCACAGACAGGGAGGAGGGGGGGCTGTCTAGCATCCTCTTTCTGGAAGATGCAAAGTGACCTAAGTCCGGGGCCTCCAGCGAGCATGCTGACTGCTGCTGTGAAGATGGGAAATCATTACTGTGGAGTTGGGAGACCTTTTCTCCCCCATCTGCTCACGCCGGCTTGTGTTCTGGGTGGCGGGAGTCTACTGGGGAGCGAGACAACAGGAAGGTGGGAACAGGTGATATACCAGATGCAGAGGTAACGTTCATTTCTCCAAAAAGGCTACTCTGAGCTTTTACAAGGAATGAATGAAATAACTTATACTTGGCTTATTTGGAAAAAACGTTGAGGTAGCAGGCTTTGCCATTCATAGTGCCATCTTTTCTGTGGCTTACCTTGCTGACTCTTCTCGGACACTTCAATGGACCAAATCCCTTTTAAGGTGTTGGCCTTCCCTAAGCTATGCTAAAAGCATATTTTACCACATGAAGGGACCACTTTATTTGAGTAAATGTTAAAGGTGGTAGGTCCCTTAACTTTAAAAAGGGGCAAAAATTAATTTTTGGATGTGAACTTGGATAGAAAATACATAACAGAGTCTACTTATAAAAAGCTCTTTTTAGCAGTGAGCTGATAAAAGAGATGTCCCAGGGACTGAATAAGAACATATCTTTCATCGATGATTTGTGGGTGAGCGGAGGTTTTGCTTTATAAATCGACATCAGACTCGTTTCTCTGCATTTTGAGAAGAACTGGATCCACTCCTTAGTGGTCCAAAATGATGCACTAATCAGTGCTACAAGGAACTGTCACGCTCCTAGTTCAATATTCGGGCAACTGTTAAAAAAGCTTAGAGTCTCTCTTTAAAAAGTGATTTACTCGGGGCAGTACCAACATTCTTTCTACAAAAGATGCATGAAAACTGGCCCATCACAACAGAAGAAACATCTCCAAAAGATGTCCACTGTCTTCAGGGCAGAAACAGGCAAAAAAGATTCTCCCTCTACACACTATGAGTATGGGGTAGAAATACTTGCAAATTACAGGCTTGAGTAAACAAGATGTGAAGTGCGACTTTTTTCATCTTTGGCCATTTTTCAAAACTGTGTTTCATTTGACCATCTCTTTTGTCTTTTTCCAAGACACTGTCCTTACATTAAATGATCTGTGTAACCGCCCTAGGAAGGCTTTCTGATTTTATGATTGGGGCTATCCTGGAAACAGGATTCTGATCCGAGACAAAGGCACCAGGGCTGAGAAATCTAGCTTTCTGCTACATGATTGATTCTTTTAAGTAAACCTCAGTTGAATCAGGCCCCAAACATCCTGTGATCTTGGGACAAGAGGGTAGTGGATTTCTTGATCATCATGAAGACATACGTGAGTCAGAGACACGTATTAATAGGTTAATAGGCTTGGTTCTCCTTTGTTTGAGTCAATCGCTAACGATCATTAAGTCCTCTGTAAGGCACATTTGGTCTTTAGAGTCACTTTGGGAGTTGAGTAATAAATGGAATTGTCATTAGAGTCTCCCCCAGAATTCAAGATTTGTCATTAAAAACTGATTTGAGAGAATCTCAACGCTGCTTAATCAGGTAGGTAAAAGCCTTATGAATTAGGGCTAATTTAGAAAAAAGACCCATTTGAATGAGTGAACTTTTGGAATGAGAGAAAGTATCTAACCTCATGCAGTTTTATTACTTTCAAAGCAAGCCGATAGAATTGGGCTTTCAAGAGACAGTCTGCAAGTGTCCCAGTTAATAAACAGCTGCAACTTACTTGTAATTAATGCTATTAAACTCCTTAAGACATTATTTCCACAGATGTAATAGCAACCTTTAGCTCAGTCTTTGTTAAAAGGTGACAAATTCTATATCAAAGGGGCCTGGATGAATGAGAACATATTACATCACATTCCAAAATAAGTCTTGCCTTGAGGTCTTAAAAATGACCTCTTTTCAATGGATAGATCATCTCAACACATCAGTAGGCTACATGTTTCCTCATTTCGTGCACAAAAAGTAGGGAGTTTGCGTGGAAAATCTTCCACCAGGGAAATGAGACAGGTTGGTATGAAACCGAGCTAACGTGTTGATTTTGGTGGTTTAGGGTCAAAGGTTAGGAGAAAAGAGGGAGGAAAGGAGAGAAGGGAGTGAGGTGGGTGACGGAGGGGGAAAGACGGACTTGTTTTATAAGCATTAATACGATTTTTGCTCTAGGGTTCATATCTTCTGATAATTTAGTTTAAAATACAGAAGGTAAATAAAACATTCAACAAAAAATTAAAGCCTTTCTCTGACTTACTACCTCCTTTATAAAACATTAGCTGAACGCACTGTGTCCATTTACGGTGGACTTTATTTTCTAGGCTAGGCTGCCGGACAAAAACGTGTTTGCCGGAAACTCATCTTCACTTTGATAATGAAAATGTAAGTAGGCAAATTCAGGTTCACTTTCGGGAGGTAAACTGACTGTTGATCACTGGTGTCTTCTTGTCAAGCGTCTCCTGAAGATGGGTCTGGAGAGCGTGTAATTAGCTGATGGACGACCAGAATTTACTGGCGCTGCAGGCTGTGCCATAAGCCAGTTTGGATAATTTCAGAATATAATTGAACCTAAGCAGCCTCAAAGATGTTCCCTAATGGAACCCTTAAAAGTGAGCAAATTCTCTCAGATTCACACTGGCAAATAGCTTGTGGTTGGAGTGAACTCTGTCTCCTTAAACAGTGGAGATTAAAACAGGAGGAGAAATGGTTATTTCATGGGATGATAGCATGTTATAAAATATCTATGCATTTTTAAACTCAAAGGGAGGCTTTTATTAATTTCTTTACATTTTATCAATTTTCTCCCTGTCTAAAACAGCAGACCTCACACTGCCACAAAACTTCATCTAGTTATTTTGATTTGGGGAAAAAAAAATTCAGTTCTTGAATACGACCCCCCCCCCCCCA